AATAAGGGGGCTATTTTGAGAATGGCAGCCTTAAGTAGTTGAGTGCTACTGGATCAGTGTTGGGGCCACAATTATTTACAATATATATATATTAATTTTTGGATGAGGAAAGTGTATGTACCATTGCCAAGTTAGTGAATGACACAAAAATAGAGGGGAAGGTAAGTAATGAGGATCATACAAAGAGCCTGCAGAAGAGTACATAGAATATAAAATGGGAAACTGTGAGGTTGTGGACTTTAGTACGAAGAATAGAGGAGCTAAATATTATTTAAATGGAGAAAGACTGCGGAAATCTACAGAACACAGGGATTTGGGAGTCCTTGCGGATTATCAACAAAATGCTAGCATTCACATTCAACAGGTAACAAGGTAGCTAAGAGGAAGGTTGACCTTTAATTCAAAGGGAATGGAGAATACAAGTAGGGAGGTTTTACTAAAACTACACAAGGAACTAGTCAGACCACAGCTGAAATGGTGTGAACAGCTTTAGGACCCCTACAGAAGGAGAGACATACTGGCATTGGAGGGAGCCCAGAGAAGGTTCACTAGACTGGTATAAGGTATTGAGAGACTGTCTTATGAGGAAAGGTTTCATAGTTGAAATATAGAAGAACGAGAGGCAATCTTATTGAAACATACATGATTCTTAGGGGACTTGATCTGGAAGATGCAGAAAAGATGATTTCCCTTTGTGGGAGATTCTAGGACCAGAGGGTATAATCTCAGAGTAAGGTCTTGCACACGTAAGACAGAGATGAGGAGTTTTTATTCTCTGTCAGGGGCATTGAATCTATGGAATTCTATTGCAGAGACCTTTTGAGGTTGGTTTGTTAAGAATATTCAAGATGTGGAGGTGCTGGTGTTGGACTGGGGTGGACAAGGTCAGAAATCACTCGACACCAGTTACAGTCCAACAGATTTATTTGAAAACAGAAGCTTTCGGAGTGTAGCCCCGTCATCAATCAAGACTTATGGAGAAAAGGCAGGAAACTGAAGTTGAGGATTATCAGGTCAGTTGTGGTCTCATTGAACGGTGAAGCAGACTTGATGGACTGAATGGCCTACTTCTACACCTATGTTTTATTACCCACAATATCTTCCCCACTCACTGTCATGCACCCAAACTCCTGACACCACTAACCCTGCATGCCCTCTGCATTACTACTCACTTTCTCAAGACCCCTCCACAACTGCAACAAAAATAATAGCTGCAATACCAACTTTCATTCCCGTTCATATCTGCCTCTCTCTCTTTCCAGGAGGAAAGTAGCAAGTAATGTGGCAGAAAGAGTAAAGATGGGTGATGAGCTGCCTGATACTCAGCACCTCACCCTTATATGGAATTCCAGAGGCAAGATGAGAATGATTGGCTTTGACATGGAAGGCTGCATTTCACTGAGTGTGGCATCAAGGACCCCCAGCAAAACTGGAATCAATGGGAATCTGGGGGAAAACTGTCCACTGGTTGGAGTCATAGCTAGCTCAAAGGAAGATGGTTGTGGTTGTTGGAAGTCTGTCATCTTAGGTCCAGGACATCTCTACAGGAGATCCTCAGGGTAGTGTCCTAGAACCACTTAACTTAGTTGCCTCATCAATGACCTTCTCTCTGCCATCAGTCAGATTTTCACTAAGGATTGTACAATGCTCAGCACCTCAGATACTGAAGTAGTCCTTGTCCAAATGCAGCACGAATTGGACAAATTGCAGGCTTGGGCTTAAAAATGAAAAGTAACATTCAAGCCTCGAAAGTGCCAGATAAGAACCATCTCCAGTAAGAGACAATCTAATCATTAAGCCTTGACATTCAGTAGTGTTACTATCACTGAATCCTCCACTAACAACAACCTGGGACTTTAATTGATCAGAAACTGAACTGGACTAACCATTTAAATACAATGGTTACAAGAGCAGGTTAGAGGCTAGGAATCCTGCAATGAGTAACCCTCCTGATTCCCTAAGCCTGTTCATCATTTACTAGGCACAAGTCAGGAGTGTGATGGAATACTCCTCATTTGACTGGATGGGTGCAGCTCCAACAACACTCCAGAAGATTTCCGCCCTCCAGGACAAAGCATCCCACTTGATTGGTACCACATCCACAAACATTCCACTACTGATACTCAGTAGCAACAGTGTATACAATCTTACAAGATGCACTGCAGTAATTCACCAGAGATCCTTAGACAGCACCTTCCAAACCCACAATTACTATGATCTACAAGGATAAAGGCAGCAGTCACACCAACACCTGCAAGTTCCCTCCAAGCCACTCCCCATCCTGATTTGGAAATACAGCATCGTTCCTTCATTATCAGCAGGGTCAAATCCTCTCTGTAATGACATTGTGGGTGTATCCACAACACATGGACTGTGGTGCAATAAGACAGCACACCACCACTTTCTCAGGGGCAGTTAGGGAAGGGTAAAAAAAGTGCTGGCTCAGCCATCGACGTCCCACATCCCACGAGTGAATAAAACAAAAAGAATCCTGACTCTGTCCAAGCCCCTGGATTGGTATTGAGGACTGTCCTTGACTTACAGTGTTGGCACCCCCTCGACTTGCCTGAGGGCTGTTGACAACCATAACAAGTTTCCAGGCTTTTTGTTTGCGTTAAGCAGCAAAGCACGACAGCTATAATCTGAGCCTGGTAACTCTGGCTGATAGGGCAAAATGGCAAAGTATGGCAGTGCAAGGCAGGGATGCCATGAGCATCCAGGTAGGCTCAGAGAGACTGAGGGCTGGAACAACAAGTGAACAAGCCAAGGATGCAGCCTGGTCCAGTCCATGAGCCAAATATGGACCCTTGAGCACTCAGCATCCTTGCAGTAGCATTGCATTTATTGCTGCTGGTGCAGCTCAAGATTCAGTATTAAAGTGCTTGAATAGTGTTTTGGAGATGTGATTTGAGGATTCCTAGACATTGGACATAGATACCAATGTCTGTGGGCATGGTGGGGGGGGGTGCATGTGGCTGGTGCCCATGGAGCATGCCCTGAGATTTGGTGCCCACTGATCAAAATGAAGGCCCTGTGGAGTAGGTAATGAGCTGAAGTCACCAGGTACTGGCTCTGACTTCCATGTTGAGAATTCCCAATGGGGAGATTGTTCAAAATGTTTGATAAAATAGAAAGCTGAAGATTCATGAGGCACGTTGTGACTCTAATTAGCAACTCTCTGCTGCTTAGTGAGACACTCGCCTTGCTGCTCAGCAAAAGCATTAAAGATGCAGTAAGAGTTGCTGTTGACTTCAAGATAGGCTTCATTGGATTTCTTGTGCAAGTCTGCCACAAATCTAACCATAGCTGACTTCACTCAGGCCCCTATAATATTCTGCCCAATGGTCCCAGCAACCTATTCCCAGCTTTCATTTTGTCCACTTGTTCCCCGACTTACGGACATCCAAACGATGAAGACTCATACTTATAAACTAATCCCATATGACTTAATTTTAAGGATCTGACATGCAAATGTTCAGTGGTACTTATGAACGGATATTTCATACTGTGCTATAATGTGTTCCAACTTGCTTACAAATATAATCAAGAATGGAACCCATTCATAACCTGGAAACTCCTGTATGTCAATGCCAGGGAACTACAAGGAGATCAATACAGAATGAGAAATAAATAACCTGCATTGATGTAAAAACAGAAAATGCTGGAAATACCTAACAGTTCTGGCAGCATCTGCGGAGAGAAAACCAAAGTTACTATTTTGAGTCAATGATCTTTCAATTGTTATGATATTTATTTCAGGTTTCTAACATCTACATTATTTTGCTTTTGCAACATACATTAAATTACGTTTTTTCCATCAATATAATGCCTTAAGTTTCTCTGTCAGCTATTAAGCTGGGAGCAATCTGGCCTTTGCTTCAGAAGTGTGTGGGTTCAAGTCCCATTCTAGGATCTCAGTTGACAAATAAGCATAGAACTGAGGGTATACTGCACTGTCTAACAATCTGTCCTTTAGATGTAACATTAAACTGGGACACTGTTAGTTTAGGTTGAAACACAATCATATACAAGTCTGTCCTAGTCTGCTGCACTCCTGAGACACCCAGCATGTAGGCAGACAACTTAAGCTTCACTTCAATAATATCTTTGTATTAAACACACTGCTGTGTTTTACACTCAAAACATCGTGTCAGAAGTACAGAGCTGAAAGAAAAAGCACAGCTGCCAAGCTGTGAGCTGCAACTAAACAAAAAATGAAGATCACAGTGAAAACACTGCTTAAGAGAAAACCACTGGACCTTTTCCCTAAAGCGTCTCCTGCTCAAATTGTTGAGAACATTAGGCAGAACTGGGAAATCTTCCATGAACAATGGCAAAAATAAGCAATGGCTATGAATGTGTTCATCAAACCAAAGTAATTATAAGTCACTACATTTTTATCATTTTTAAGGAAAAAATCTGTTACAAGATATATTTGACCCCAAATGATTATTATACATGAGCAGTGCATATTAAATACTAGGGAACATTGTGAAAAACAGTCAATTCTTCAATACATGACATCATTAGCTTAGCTTGCAGAAACCTTAGTTTGAACAGCTAAAGAATGAGATTATTAGAGACAAGATTATACTATATTAGGAATAAAGATTCAAAAGTGAAAGCATACAACTAAGAGAAGATAAACCTACACTCAAGAGAGCATTTGAACAGCAAATGTGCTGAGATTGTGAATCAACGGCTGGAGCATATTCTTGGCAGAACAGACAAGGTATTACACTTTGCTGACAAATGCTCCAGGTGAAATGTTAAAGGGTTAATATCTGTTCTGCTGACATGTAAGAAATTAGGTGCTTTGTGGGCGCCCCTGTCTCGCAGATAAAATGCGTTAATCTAATTATACTCTGCTGTCTGTAAATGTTGAACTAAGGCTAAAAAGATCTTGTAGACAAAAGGTGGTAATCTAATTATACTCTGCTCTCTGTAAATGTTGAAATAAGGCTAAAAGGATAAGGAACTATCTAGTCCTACACATTGTTTTTGGGCGGCTGACCTTTGTTTTACTGTTAGATGATTACGTTATGTACTATCACTTTTGCTAGGCATGTGACTATGGGGCAAGAGAAAAAAAATTGTATCTTGTATGCATGTCTGACTGTGCTGTAAAAACCTATACAAAGGGAGGGCGGTTCCCTTACAGAGAGCATCGCTTGACACGGCTCCGCAAGCCCTGTGAAGATTGTTAAGTGATCCTCCAAAGCTTGTACTTGCTTAAATAAACTGTGACTATTCACAGAAGTTGGCGTATTGCATTTGTATCAAGTGCGTAGGAATCTCCTAAAAGGGAACTCAACATTTGGTGGCAGTGGTGGGATTCCAACATATACGGAACTTCTAGACAGACTGAATAAGTGATCGTCTGTGTGATGGTGACGTGAGACAGATGGGCCCACAAGGTAAGATTTACCTTGATCTCTCTCATTAACCTATCACTCAGTCGACCCCTCGTCCCCTAGAACTCTGTAGTGACGGAATCTCTGAGATAACCTATGCACTTGTATGCTGAGGAGTTCGTCTCAGGGAGGTTAGAGTGCCCCTGGAATTCGGGGGTTAGAGTCTTCCTAACTGTAAGTACCGGGAATTCGGGGGTTAGAGTCCTCCTAACTGTAAGTACCCGGAATTCGGGGGTTAGAGTCCTCCCAACTGTGAGTGTCGGGAATTCGGAGGTTAGAGTCCTCCAATACCGGGGTTCGAGTCCCTGGAACATAGTACCTAAGGTAAAGGATAACTACAGTGTCTGTCTCAACCACCCTGCCTTAGACCGGTTGTTAAGAGGGGAAATCCCCCATGCGAAGGTCAGGACCCTGAAGTGGGTGTGGAGACCAAGGACACTGGACTAGTATATAGAGATAAGTAAGAAGTTGAAGCGATAAAATGGGACAGACGTTGGATAAGTCGGGTGTCGGAACCCCTTTACATCGGTTATATTGGGATGACCCCGAAAATGAAGAACGGTTCAGACGTCTGTCGGCATGCCTAAATAAGAAATTGGGAAATGAAATTTGGCCAATAGGGGGAACTTGGATGTAGATAAATACATAAAAGCGGAAGAGGCAATTTGGAAATGTAATACGGGGACAAAATGGAAAACTTTAATATCCACGTGGAGAAAGATTGCTGAGGAAATAACGAATAAATCTAAACAGGCCAGCTGGGAGAATAATGCACGTCAGAGAGGGATTAGAGTATGTGATCATGAGGGGAGGTGTTGAAGCGGCAGTGTGAGGATTATGATATGAGTAAAGCAGAACAGGAAAGATTGAGAAAGGAGAGGCAAAATAAGGAATCAGGGTTGAAGTGTCAAGCCGGTTTATCATGTGGGAATAAAATGGAGGACCTCCTGACATGTCTGGTCTGCTAATATTGTTCCAAAATAATGACACCGATGACCAGGAGGAGGATTGGCAAATTCCGCCTAGTGCCCCAGCACTCGGAAGACCCTTGTATGACAGGCCCTTCCAGTTGTGTGCCAGTATCCTAGAGGACTGTGCAACCGCTGTTTTAACCCAAACCCACGGGGATCGCAGGAGACCAGTGGCCTACTACTCGACTCGTCTTGACCCTGTAGCCATGGGTCTCCCACCTTGCTCACAAATTCTTCCCGCTATCTACTCCCTTGTAACGGCTGCTTCCAATATTACTCTCCAGCAACCCCTAACGGTCTATTCGTCACATGCTATTGTAGCCCTCCTGACTTCCCATCAGACCCAACATCTTACACAGGCACAACTAAGTCGGTATGAGGTAGCTCTTCTTAATAACCCCCTTCTGACTTTCTCCTACTGCTCAACTGTCAACCCAGCGACCTTCCTGGGTACCCCACCAGAAGAGCTCCTAGAACCCCCTATGATTGCCTTTTGCGCAACCACTTCTTAACCTCCCCTCGACCGGACCTTTCAGATGCCCCATTACCCACACTGGATCTTACCCTCTTCGTGGATGGTAGCTCTTCGATATCACCTTTAGGAGTTCCCCTTTCAGGATACGCAATCACTTTAGAATCAGCCTCCTTCGATCCTCCGGTATCTGCTCAGAAAGCAGAGCTCATTGCTTTAACACGGGCTTGTACCCTGGCTACAGGAAAATCGGTAACTATATACACTGACTCACGATACGCCTTTGGCGTGGCCCATGACTTCAGCCAGCTATGGTCGCAGCGCGGATTTCTGACCTCATCAGGGACACCTATTCAGAACTCACTATACGTCCAAAATCTACTCAAAGCCATCCTCCTCCCCAAGCAATTGGCCATAATCAAATGTGCGGCCCATGTAATGGACAATACGGATATCAGCAAAGGCAATGCCAGAGCTAATCGAGCTGCCAAAGATGCTGCAACAGCACGCAGTTCTATTGTGTCCTCTATGAACCAGCAGGCATTAAATCGCTCACCTGCCTCGAAAACAACGGACATACCAGACATTGTCACTGTGCAGCATTCACAGGGGGATGCCCCTGACTCAGAAAAAGAAATATGGAAGACGCATGGGTGTTCGCACTCTGCGTCAAGAGGTCTCTGGATCATTCCAGTTGGCCAAGTGTGTATACCTGATGCTTTGTTACCAATGCTTATTGACTGTCTTCATACTGATACCCACCTTGGCAAGGAGGGAATGAGTAATATCATGTTACGTACCTGGTGGCACCCCCAATTGGCTGAGGCAGCCCAGAAGCGTGTCAGGTCATGTCTGACATGTCGGCAAAATAATGCCGGCCAAGGAATGCGGTACGTAACAGGGAAAACACCCTTGCCAGGTGGCTCATTTAAGTGTATTCAGCTTGATTTCATTGAATTGCCGCGTGTACATTGCTATAAGTATTGTCTTGTTATTGTTGATGTATTTAGCAGATGGATTGAAACGTTTCCAACCACTAATAATAAAGCCTTAACGGTGGTAAAATTACTACTGACAGAGCTCATACCGAGGTTTGGAGTGCCTCGACAGATTAGTTCAGACAATGGCCCCCACTTTGTAGGAAAAATCAACAAAGAACTATGTGAGGTGTTACACATCCAACAACAATTCCACTGTGCCTACCACCCCCAGGTGGCAGAGATAGTGGAAAGAGCTAACGGAACTCTCAAAGCTAAATTGACTAAGCTAACATCCAAAACCGGCCTTAACTGGCTAAAGGTTTTGCCTTTAGCTCTGTACCACATGAGAATAACACCCCACTTCACTACTGGACTCTCAGCCGCAGAAATAATTTATGCCGACCCAGTAGGACCCCTTGGAATGCCGACACAGACCCACCTGCCCACGTAGACTTAAATATTATGGGAGAGGAAATGCAAAGATACTTTCAGCAGCTAACATCGTCTCTAAAGTTTCTTCATTAACAGGTAAAGCACACCTTCGGACCACCATCACAAGCGACGGATCAGAGCTCAGACGACCTGAATGAACCCCCCAGACTACAAACGGGAGACCTCGTGCTGATCAAAGACTGGGATCGCCCCAAGCTCAGACCCAGGTGGAAAGGACCATTCCAAATACTTCTCCAGACTCCGACTGCGCTTAAAGTCAAAGGGCAGAATCGCTGGATCCACCTAAGCGACTGTAAACGATGGGTTCCCTCACCATCTTGAAAATAATCATTGGACTAAGTATTGTTCAGACTGTGAGTGGGTTGGAGGACAATTTGTTTTATAAGACACATATCCTACTGCATGGTAACCAAACAGTGTGTTATCCGCTAGCACAATCTGTAGAAGCTTTATTTGTAGCAACCCCAGGATGGAACCCTCACCAACTCTATGAAGTAGATTATTCTGGTGAGCCTTGCCAAGGGAAGAGAGGAACCTGAAGCAGGGGTGTGCAGGGTAAATGTGTAGAATTGATGGGTAACGGCCGCTCCAATTGTCCAGGTACTAAACCCAAGTCTGGGAAGGAAGGGGCCAACTGTACGGATCCTAACAGCTATCCGCTTTGTTTTAATGGTACTGGAAGTTGTTGTGTATATGCCTTAGTAAACGTCACCAACCATCCCCATGATGCTTCCTGGCCCCATCAGTGTGTAAAACAGACTTGTACAACTAAAGGAGGGCTATTGAACTGCCCCTGTTTGGAATCAAAACCGGTAAATATGACTTCTGGCATACATTGGACTTGTGGGAGTTGTAATGGCACCCATGTAGAAACGGGGTATGGGACGTTTCTGTTTCACTCCTCGGACTTCCAACCATTTAAGGGTCAATCCTCCTGGAATAGTTACAAGATAGTCCGTGAGTCCGTTACCTGCTACCGTGCTAAGAAGGGATTCGTTTTCCTTCTCAATGGGACCTTTTCTACTGCTACTCCAACTTTGCCGGTGCTGTTTGCTGTTGGGACCATTGGGCCTCTCACAGTCCCTTGTCCCCAACGAGCATATACTCGATGACGAATTGTCACATGCTTCATAAGCAAGGAGTTTTGCGCCGAGTGGCAGGATCCAGTAACCCTGGGCTCTTCCTTGGGACATGGCTTCCTGGGAACTGTCACTTTGGGAGGCTCCTCAGGGGTGGTGTCTGCTAAAAACCAAAACTACTTTATATGTGGACTTACCGCCCTGGGAAATAGCACAATGTTGGCATTGGAAGCAGTAAATCAAGAATTAGCCGAACTTCGGCTCTATGCTCAGCAAACCCGGTATGCAGTGGACTATCAGCTGGCTCAACAAGGGGGAATTTGTACAACAGTAGGAGACAGATGCATCACCCATGTTACGGACGAATCATACAACATAACCCACGCCATCCAATCTATTAAGAAACAATTGGATGATTTCAGACAAGGTCCTAAGAAAGGAGATGACTGGCTAGGGTGGCTACTGGGAGGATCCTGGGGATCCTATCTACTGCATGGGCTAGTAATTCTTGTTGTTATAATCATTGTATGTTGTGTGTTAATAACTTGCTTAAATACTGGCTGTAAGATTCTTATGAGTAAGCTGGCGGCGCCTTTCTCAGCCCCCATTTAGTTGGTTATCATGGAACGATAAAAGGAGGGAATGAAATGTTAAAGAGTTAATATCTGTTCTGCTGACATGTAAGAAATTAGGTGCATCATGGGCGCCCCTGTCTCGCAGACAAAATGCGGTAATCTAATTATACTCTGCTCTCTGTAAATGTTGAACTAAGGCTAACAAGATCTCGCAGACAAAAGGTGGTAATCTAATTATACTCTGCTCTCTGTAAATGTTGAATTAAGGCTAAAAGGATAAGGAACTATCTAGTCCTACACATTGTTTTGGGGCAGCTGACCTTTGTTTCACTGTTAGCTGATTACGTTATGTACTATCACTTTTGCTAGGCATGTGACTATGGGGGAAGAGAAAAAAAATTGTATCTTGTATGCATGTCAGACTGTGCTGTAAAAACCTATACAAAGGGAGGGCGGTTCCCTTACAGAGAGCATCGCTTGACACGGCTCCGCAAGCCCTGTGAAGATTGTTAAGTGATCCTCCAAAGCTTGTACTTGCTTAAATAAACTGTGGCTATTCACAGAAGTTGGCGTATTGCATTTGTATCAAGTGCGTAGGAATCTCCTAAAAGGGAACTCAATACAGGCACACAGGACAGAACAATCACAGGCAAAGATCTGGATGCAAATCATGTGGAAAACATCATGCCAAAGAGAAGGAGAACTGAGCAGTATGGTAAAACATCATTCTCACTCCAAAAGGCTGAATCATTTTGCACACAAGTGTATAGCTAATAATAAGCACTCACAAGCAGGTACTGGAGACATACCAGCTCAAGATTCTGACAATTTACTATACACCATAAAACATGTTCTTTCAGACAAATCAATAGATGAAGGATGATTCGTGATGGTTGGAATAAGGACTGCAGAAGGAGAACACCAGGACAACATAAAATGTCAAATAGACACTGATGTATCATACAACACCGCGAACTTCACAGAATTGAGCAAATTGGCTCCACATAGCAATAAAAAATTTTAACAATAAGGTTAAGGCTATCTGATGGTAACATGTCCATTGCAAAAGGGATAGATTACTGTCCTAGCCCATTGCAAAAGCAAGAACAGAGATATGGAGTTTCAGATCATAGAGTGTAAGCAAACACCACTCATCTCAGCCAGAGCAAGATTAAAGCTTAAACTAGTACCTCTCAACCAGGTGAAAGAAATTGTCTATGTGTTGCAGCATATGAAATTGTAAAAAATGGAATTAAAACATATTCACAGGTTAGAATGTTCTCCAGGAACTTATTATCTCGAAGTTGATGAGAATGCAAGGCCCGTTCAGTGTTTGCGGAGGAAAGTTACAGCTGCCCTCAAGGCCAGCCTCACACACAGCATGGAAAAGAAAGGGACAAACAAGAAAGTGACAACATCTACAGAATGGGTTAGCAGCCTCGCAGCAGTGAAACAATCCGGAAATCTGAGAGTATTCCCTGATCTAAATACTCTAAATAAAGCCTTGAAGAGATCTCACTGCCCCATGCCAATAATTGAAGGAATTTTGCCCAGCCCACAACAACATGCTGATATACAATAAAGAGACCAGCATGATTTAAAGACTATGGCTGCAATGCATATGCAGAGACTGATGGAATGGATGAACTGTGAAAGCATGTGAATAGTAACGTTGGTAACTAAAAATATACATGATAATGCATTTCATCTTTTTGTTTAAAAAGGAGAATGTTTGGATTGAATACAATCATGCAGAAATATCTGTTTTACCCATGCCGTTGTCACATGATCTTTACCATGAGGCATATACTTCAAAGACCTTGTGTTGAACACACTGCTATGTTGTACATTTCAAACATTGTCTGACTTCTCAAGTGAATGTGAAAGATGCCATAGAATTCATTTGAAGAAGGACAAGGGAGATTTTCCTCGGCCAATACTTGTCACTCAATCAAAACCACACAATCAGATTGTCACTAATATTTGCATTGTTATTTGTGGAATTTTGATGTGGGTAAATTGTCTGCAAACTATACAACATGTGATCTGGATTATCACAAGGCCATGAAAAGCACCATATGAATGCAAATTGTTTTCACGATAAATTAATCATCTTGAAACAATTAAAATTGATTGTGTTAATGTCAACCAGATGCTGAATGGTGGGTTGGAATCACATTTCTGTGACCTGGTTTAACATTCATTTTATATATGGGACTATATATTCTTTGCATTGAGCAACAACCGTGCATTGCTATTATAGAGAAAAATTACTATGAAGACTAAAACTACACCGCTAATTTGAAATCTGGCTGTTCTAGTAATGGACTGTCTCAAAATTCAGATGATATTTACCAATAACTCTTTAAATAGAGCTCCAACAGCAAATGGAATTTCAGATTTTTATAAAAAGCAAAGATTGTGTTTCCAATTGATGTGCTGTGACTAACACAGTAATATAGTAACAAAAATGGAGGGACTGACATGGACGGAAAATGTTATTTTTACCGCTTGAGTATACACTTTTGGTTTCAGAAACCACAATAGTTAATCCCTACTGAACAAATGTGTGTAGATGCTAATAGGTGTGTATCTAACCAGCAGTCTGAACAGCAACTATAAACATGTGCTATTTAAATGCCAATCCAACATCAACATGAGTTGGAGAGATAGTAGAAACTGCAGATGCTGGAGAATCCGAGACAACAAGGTGCAGGGCTGGACGAACACAGCAGGCCAAGCAGCATCACAGGAGCAGAGAGGCTGACGTTTCGGGCCTAGACCCTTCATCAGAAAACCCTTCATCAACATGAGTTGGTCGTGTGCAATATTTGTCTTGAATTTAATAGCCAATAAAATGAGGTCCATAATGGCCTTTTGCTTGCCACTTCAGTTACTTTTTGTGTTAAAGAAAAGTATTTGGTGAAAGGATATATGTTACACTTAATAGTAAAGGCATTCTGAATCCTCTTTTGCTCCAGTAGGTAGTTATAAATTAATTATTCTTGGTATTTCTCAATTCTTAAATTGCTTATTTATCATTCAGATTCCTGAGTCACATGCTTTACCAATGGTGCTACTGTTATCATATTTAAATAGTCATCAGTCACTGCTGTGTACATTGACAGGCAGAGTCACATCAGTGAATAAACAACAATGTCGGGTGAAATCCTATATGGTCTTGAACACCATGGGCTATAATGAGATTTGTGGCAGAATCATGTGAAAAGTCCAGCATTTGCTGAGCAGCAAGGCGAGACAAGGTGAGATTCTCACTAGGCTGCAACTGATTTATATGTAAGGAGCATAATAGTTTATTTAATGCCTTATTACTGGTACAACTCATCTCGTCAATATTCAGCTTCCTGTCTCACCAAATATGCTGCCCAAGCTCGACATTGAGAATTCTTCTCAATGGAAGTCTGAGTGGGTCCCTAGAGATTTCAGTTTACCATTTGCTCCAAGGGATCCCCATGTTGGACACTGGGCACCAAAATCTCAGGGTGATTCCCTGGCACCAGCCACATCCACCGTGCCAGCTTCTAAGAGCCCTCATTTCCCCTTGTCTAAAGGCAGCCACAGGCTGACAGTGCTTATCCAGGTACTCCCAAGGCCTTTTGAAGATGACGCTGCTGGTGATGACGATCTATTCCAGAATATCTGGTTAATGGTGAGTTGTTCTCAGAATGGCACATGGTAAGTTGTGGTTACAATCAAATGAGAGGGACAGCACAGGATGGGATATCTAGGTAATGAGGTGAGTTTTGTACGTAACGGCAAAATAATTCACTAGGCCTTGTGGCAAAAATGCTCCAAAACCCAACACAACCTGCACTTAACCAGAAAAATTTCGGATTCAGCCCATTGCATTGTTAGACATTTTCCGGCCGTCCTTCCAGTTCTATGTCCTCTGAAGCCTACTCCTAAATGGGCATTATTGAACATCCATCTCGAGAATGAGTGTCAGTGGGGATTATTAATCAAATCTGTCCTCACTTCAAACCACTTAAGGTTGTGAAATGCTGTCGATGCTCAGAATTGGTCTTCATGGTCAAAACAATGGCCTTTGATCTGGCCAATACCAATAAGCTCTCATCCTTCTTTAGTTATTCCCAGTGTATTTGATTGAGATTGTTGATGTGCATGCATTACAGTTTCAGCAACAGTGAATGGATAGCAGTCAATGCAATGTGCCCCTTGTTTGTTGTAGGTGCTGAAGTCAATTATATCATCCCTAGTGTTGCTTTATCTAAAATAAGGCAACTCAACATAGATCAGGCACTGAAGCTGAGATGTGGTTCAATTCCAGTCCAGACACTGCACTTACTAATAGAGCCATCCAGAGAACTCTTTCTTTTTTCTGTCTGTGGGAATATGAGTCTTTTGTAGTTTCACGTCTCCCAGGAATTCAAATTCAATTTGATCTGGTTTCAATAATAAAAGGAAATTAAACTAAATAGGATTTTATTTGCAATTTTAAAACCCAAGGGGAAAGCCTTACAGTAATCAAGTGGAATATTCCTGCCACTCTGCTATGCTAATATTATAACTCATATATATCCTGATTGGTCCAGAAACCTGGCCTACTCTAACTAATTACGCAAAGGTATATTCTTGAATGGGTACAGAAAGCTGTCAATGTTAGTTGAGGTTGTTAGGTTGTGAAGCCACCAACAGTGAATTTTGAGAGTCAACTTTTGAACGTAAAAACTGTAAGGAACCAACAGAAGGGTCCTTGAGTGGATTTATTGACTTATGAGCTTAATATTAGAGTCCATTCTGTCTGGTTTGTTTTAACCTTTAAAGACTGTTTGCTCAGCATCTGATTGGTGAAATAGCAACAAGGATAAATGATCACATTATGGTATGAAAATGGTGCCCTTAAAACGTGCTATTTGTCTCAGTTTTCTCAATAACTTGAAAAAGAAAGGTAGAATGAGTCAATAGTACATATAAATTTAAAATAATTTGAATAAAATATTAATTACTGCGCATCAGCAGTCACATAACATATATTGCCTATTTTCCTCATTCTAAAATGCTGTTACCACCAAAGATTTATACTAAATGTTGTGTGGGGTGGGGGGAATGTATTTTCAGAGGGTGGGTGGATTTGGGTGAGCTCATAGAATCCCTTCAGCGTAGACACAGGCTATTTGACCCATTGAGTCCATGCCAACCCTCCAAAGAGCATCTCACTCAGACTCACCCCCCTACACTATCCCATAACCGTGAACTTCCCATGGCTAATCCACCTAGCCTGTACATCCCTGGATACTATGGGTAATTTAGCATGGCCAATCCACCTAATCTGCACATCTTTGGACTGTGGGAGGAAACCGGAGCACCTGGAGGAAACCCACGCAGACATGGGGAGAATGTGTAAACTCCACCAGACAGTCGCCCAGGGGTGGTCTAGCCCCTAGCCAGGGAGGCAGCATGCTAACCACTGAGCCACCATATATTTAAATTCAGAGAAAAAATGACAATCACTGATGCGAAAGTGACAGTGTCTGTGTTTCAATGACTGGCTGTATTTGAATAACATGCACACCAGTCTTGAGT